AGGGATCAGAGGGTCAAGTCTCTTTCTTCAACGGCCAACATCTGAGGAGGACCCTGTCTGTTCGTCTGTCTTTGATCCCAATCTGAGCATTCCTGACTCCATATCTGGAATCCAGCTCCTGTCCGTCACCGAGTCCAGTCTGGGACTTTTCCCTGTGCCTGATGGTGATGTGATCATCACCATCAGGCACAGGTTGATACGGTTTTGTATATACTGTATACTTTATTATTATTATTATTTTCTTAGTATTTCATTATTTATTAATATTTTCATTAAAGTAGTTTATTTTTTAAATTCATAAATCTCTTTATCTCTTCCTCTCCTCTCTTGGAGGGGATGGGGGGATGGCAGGGGAGGAGGGGCCTTCTGTCATTCTGATTGGCCAATCCGGCCAAAACCACAATAAATTCCTGGTTTATATTAAGTTTCAGGAGGAAGAAAGCTGATTCATTAAGTTTTTCCTGACAACTCCAGTTTACACATTGCTAGTATCTGATACTGACCAGTACCCTAGACTGTGGGTTTCGCTTTTATAAGAAGAGAGACATAAATTACTGTCCTCTGAGAGATAACAAAATATTTGCCAACAGATTTAAGTTCTTTAAATTCCTGTCAAAAGACATAATATTGCCCAGGTCTCCCCTACCAAAAGCAATAAATGCTCATTTGCATCTCTAATGTAACCCAGAGCAAAACTCAAACTGACTTGAGTACCCAAGGACTGGCCCTCACGACGTAGCCAGCTCTGCCAGTAACAATTGAAGAGTATGTAAAGTGAGGAAACCAACCCATGAATCAGGCAAATTACCTCCACTCTCCTGAACAGTTTTGCTGGCAGAGTTTGAAAAAGTGGCTCCCTAGAGCCACATTGCTGGCTGAGTGGAGGAAAGCTGGCTCATGGAGGCATTGCCCCTGGGAGAAGGATGCATGGCAGGACAGAGCTCCTGGAGGGCAGGAACGCCGAAGCGCACCCAGCCTGAATTAAGCAGCATGCCACCTTGACCACATCAGAGGTAATGTGTGCACCCTGCTGTATTTTTAGCACCCCTCTGAAGCCAGACACTGACTGCGGCGTCGAGGTGAACAAATAGGTACTGTCATTTCTAATGTTCATTGTGCAACACGTGTTTTCAAAGCTCGGTCAGTGCTGGAAGGAGCCCCTGAGGCCAGGCCTGCCACAGCACCGTTTTCCCTGCAAAACCTCTGCGCTGCCAAAAGTCTGCCCCCTCAAAACACACGGTAAAGTCCAAAGAGAGCCAGGAGCATAGAGGGTCTTAAAAGTGCCTTTTGGCCATTCCTGCCTACGGAGGAGCTCTCTGGCCAAATTCAAAGCGAGGACCTGCAAAGCAGGATAAAAGGACAGCCAGGGCTGTCCTCTCCCGCAGGAGAGGCACCTTACCATGTCCTGTGCCTACCAGCCTTTTGCTGTGCTGTGTCACTATCTTTTCCCATTTGTAAGCAACCTCCAGCAGCAACGGCTTCAGGTTTCTCTGGAGCTCGCTCCCCATCTAGACCTACCTGCTCAAATTGCAAACCGGGAGCTTCTCCGGGGCAGCTCCCAGTGCTGGCAGCTTCTGCCCTCTCCTGCCAGGGCGACCAGCCATCGGTGCCGGCAGCTGCCAGCTGAGCCAGCAGCAAGAGCAGAGCAGATAATCAGCACATCTGCTAACCCTCTCGGGCCTTTTGCCAAGTGAAATTTATATACAAGGTCAGCAGGACCTTAAGAATACTTATGGTATTATGTTGACGGGAAAGGAAAAAGAACAAGAAAATAAGGATGATAGCAGCCCTTCTTGCGATAGTAACATACGTGAAGCTTAACTTTAATCTGACATTGAAACACACCCAAATGCAAGCCCAGAAACTACAAAATACATCCTCCTTATCATTAATTATATGCATCCGTATAAGCTGTAGCTGTCCTCACAAGACAGTTTCTGGGTATAGAAAACTTTAAATGATGCCTCCCTCATTTAGGTCAAACTGCATGATCCTGACACACAGGCATTTGTGCTACTTCCAGGTTCAAAGCAGCTTAAATTTTATAAAGAAATGTTTCCTGGCTGTTTCCCAAGAAAAGTGAACTGTTCGTCCTTCAGACCCTTTCCTCCTTCAGGACTCAGAAACAATACGTAGAGCAAGAGCAGTTGGTGATCATTTAGGGGGACCGTATCTGGCAGCTTGTCACTGTGTCCTGTTTGTGTCACAGCTGTGACCCTGGGCTATGTGAACTTTGGAGCCAGAAGACATAGGCGGTTATTTTTGTCATTGAGTTTAACAGGGACCATCTCTATACGTATCCCGAATATATTTTCCTGTACAAATCTGAGCCACAGTATCTGCTTAGAATTAATAAGCCACACACAGACTAAATAACCAGTTTTATAATTAGAGACATTACCTTATTGTAGATAAAAGCACTTATCCATCCTTAGGTCAAAGAAGAAACTGGGGCATCATCAAGAGTGAGAAAGGAGGAAATGAGCAGACTATGTTTCAGATAACGTGCACTCATATCCAGTTCTGGAGAAGGTAAGCAATCAGAGCAGTAGTCTGCATACTCTGCATTTACTTATTATCAGTATGGCTATTATGCAAATTAGGCATCCCTAGTTAAATGCTGGGCATGTGCAGGAAAGAGAAAAAAAGATACAATTTTGAGTTAATAAATGTATAACTTCTTAAAACTCTGCCAGCTAACAAATTTAATTTCAGTGTTCTTAAGTGTTTCAGACAGAAAACACTCTCAAATTAGTAACGGGTGTTAAGTTGGAACATAACGCTTCCTATGAGCTAAGAACATGATGGTATTGAGCAATAGTTCTCTTTCATTTTCGTCTTTGCCCAATTGAAAACAAAAAGACATGCATGCCACATAAGTGACACATCTTGATAAATACATACTATTTAGTAAATAAATACTATTTACTAATAAATAAATAGTATTTCTTTATTATGTAAATACTGGCTATATAATACCTACCTATGAAAGCTAAGAAAATTACCTGAATATGTGGTGTATCTTTGTATAGAGATGACCCTGTTTTTCCTCTGGTTTGGATGGTAAAGCTTTGACTTAGAGTATAAGGTAACCTCCATCACATCTTCCAAACACTTGCCACTCCTTTTGCTGCCTACCTCAGAATCACCACCTCCTCCACCCAGGTCTTCGTTAGCTAATGGCATCTCACCACACATATCCACGTGTGGCTCCTCTCATGAACCCTCGGCCATTAAATTACTGTGCAAAGTGACAGAGAGGTGATTTGCCTGACTCCTGCATCACTGGCAGGCCCTGAGTCCTGCCAAGCTCCTGCAAGCACGGTGAAGCTGCCGCTTTGCAGAGGAGCGAAGTGCCACTTGCATTCAGCAAGACAACCCATCCTCAACATCTGCAGGAGGCAGGCATGAGCTGTAATGCAGTCACCATCAACTCTCTGAGACAAGGCAGATTTTTAGAGCATTTTCCTCTGCAAAACGTAAGACAGCACTACTTTGCATTCAGGCAAATAAGATCTTTTTAAAAGAGTGATTGTTTTTGAATACTGCAGCTCACATATGAAACATAAAAAACTGTGACATAAAATACAAAGCAGGTCTTTTCTGTTTGGGATATTATGAGTGATTAATATGGACTGAGGGTGGCTATGATTTACTATCCTCTGTCCTTTTCCTTATGATTTACTCCCTTCCATTCTTCTTGGCCTTTTGAGAAAGGAGAGCCCTTTCCTTGCCTCCCTGCATTGACTTCGCCACAATTGAATCTGTGCGGGAGGCTCTTGACTGGCTGAGGTGACTGAACTTGTCATCAGAGCTACGTAGACCACTGCTATGTCTGACTGAGTAGAGGGGCTTGGGGAAAAGTCAGGATACAGAGAATCTCCTACATATTGCAATCACTGAGAATTGTAGTTGCTAAAAGGAGAAGAAAAAAAAAAATAGTAGAAGTAAAAGTAACTGTGTGTGTGAAAGCAGAAGATACTTACATTGTGTAAAACCTGACTGACTCACCATTCTGCTGTCTCACTAGTAACTCTGTTAGAACTGCCCAGTGCCCCTGTTGCCACAGCAGTTCACTGCAATCCAGAAAAAATAACGGAAGAGGTAACTTCCATTCCCCCTTCACCCATTTACGCAGAAACACAGGATTTTCCCGGCCAGGTCACACGGTGGTTTGATGACCTCCAGTGCCCAAGCTCCACAAGTGACTAGTGCCAAAGCATTTCCCCACTTCTGTCCTGACCCCTGAATTAGAGGGACCAGATGGTTCTGCTGCATTTTCCATAGAAAAGAGAGGAATTTCTTCAGATCCTGATGGCTAACAGCAGGACAGTGCCCCAGGAGTGCTGGTGACAGCCCAGGCGTGTTTCTCTGATGCCTCTTGAGGATACATGTGGGTCTTCTGTGTCCCACTGTGTCATCAGTGGAAAATGGGTGGAAGAGCCAGCCGTGAGGGTCCTGTGGGATTTCAGAGACCGGAGCTGAATGCCGTTGGCCTTCTGGCCCCAGCTCAAGGAACGTACTCCATTTCCAGTGGGATTCAGCAGGCTGTGTGTGGGGAGGGGAACACGTCTGGTCAGTTGGGCAGGTGAATGAGACTGATTGGGCTGAAACGGTTAAGATATAAAATGAAAAGATGAGACTGGAATTTCTGAACATAGAATCATAGAATCGTCTAGCTTGGAAGAGACCCTTGGGATCATCAAGTCCAACCATCTACCCTACTCTACAAAGTTCCCCCCCTACACCATATCCCCCAACACCACATCTAAATGGCTCTTAAACACATCCAGGGATGGTGACTCAACCACCTCATAATTAAACCTGACAGGGAAAAAAAAAATAAAAAGTCCCCGCCGGGGCTTCTCCTCAGGGGCGAGGGGGCGGCGGTAAAGGAGGCCCCCGCTCCCCCCGGCCGTTGGGCTCAGCACCCGGGACAGCAGCAGCGCGAGCCGCCCCCCCCCACACCCGCGCGCCTTGGTTGCCAGGGGCGACGGCGACGCTGCGGCCATGTCGGATCTGAGCGAGGAGGAGGAAGAGGCCGAAGAGACCGAGGCCAATTTAGGGGTTCGCCGGGGCGGGCGGGGGTGCCGCTGGCGGCTCAGCAGCACGGGTGGCGGCAGCCCTGCCCCGTCTCCCGGCCCCTGCGGCGGCGGGGGCTGCCGTCCCGGGGAGGGAAGAGGCGGACGGCCCCGGGCGACTGGGGCAGGGGGTGGGGGAGCGCCGTGGGGAAGGGAAAAGTGAATGTTACCGGTCAGGGCGTCTTAAATACGGTGTGCCGGCCGTGCCGAGCCTGGGAGGGCTCCCGGGGCCCTTCATCGGTGGTTCGGGAAGCGGGGCTGTGCCGCTTCGCTTGGGACCTGCCTGACTTTCTCCACCGGGGGAAAACAAGTCGTCCATACTTGCCAGAAGTGTGTCAGGAAGGGAGGAAAGCCTCTGCCTTCCAGGATCCGAGGAAAGGGTCTGCACAAGCAGCCAGGTGGCCCTGCAGTCTCTGACTCAAAGCCAAACGGGAGCAGCCTTCAGCAAACACCTGCTTTCCTCTGTTTAATGAGGCTAGATTCAGTCAGGTCTAGCCCTCTTAAACAACATTTTTTTTTTCCTACATGTGATCAGGTGTATGAAGGTGAACGCAATCCAGAAGGTGAGCGACACGGACATGGAAAAGCATTTCTACCCAATGGTGATACATATGATGGAGAATATGAACATGGTTTTAGAAATGGACAGGTAAGACAGTGAGAGAAGGCAGTGGCTGTGCTTATGTTTCAGCAGTTCTGTTATTTGGGACACTATATTGAAACAAGATTGAGAACTGACAAGTATTTTATCTATACCAATATGTTTCAGGGGACCTACAGATTTAAAAATGGTGCTTGCTACGTTGGAAAATATATTCAAAACAAAAAGCATGGCCAGGGCATTTTTTTTTATCCAGATGGATCAAAATATGAAGGTAAAACCCAGTTGCAAGGATTTCTGTAACAGAAAGGATACATTCTCCCATCTAACCCCTCCTCACCTCCCTCCCCACTCCCATGTCTGGAATGCAAGGAGGTAGTGAACTGAAGAGCATATTATTTTAAGGAGATACATTTTCTATGAAATGTTTTCCTTTTAGTCCTTTTTAACTACAAGCCCTAAAAAGTGTGAGTTTGTGTCAATTACTGTGAGAAGTGTGGTGTTTAGTAGCAGTTTATGCTTGTCACGACCTCCTTTCAAGTGCAGTGTTTCAAGTCCTGAAAAATATTAAGCATCTTCTACAAATCAGTGCAATCCTGGTAGAAGAGAGTGTAATTACATATTTCTGAATGATGATTAGAACCACAGACTGTTCAGAATACAGTATTTTAGAACTTCATTACATCCATCCTTAAAGAAAACCTGATTAGAAGACTTAGGGACTGGGCTATCTCTGAAGTCTGAAGAAGTTGAAACTTACATTGTTTCCCGTCTTTTAGGATAGTACTCAAAACTTTTTGAATATCACTTAGGCTAGGCAAGACAGAACATTCACATTGTGAGGGCTAGAGCAGAGAGGAAAAAGAGCAGCCCATTTCTTGCCTTATGGGAGCATATCCATCTGTGATTTTTTTTTTTATTTATTTGTTTAAGTATGAATAGAAGAATAGTTAAGATACGCAATCTAGCATCCTTTTAAATATCTATGCCCGCTTACTGACAGGACAATTTTAGCAAATGAGTCAAACTCAAGTAGTCCCCCTTGTTATTTAAATGGAGATGTCACAGTATCTAATGAAACTGTAACAAATTACCAAATGTAAAGATAGGAGCAGGATGTTACATAGCTTTTTGTGTTCATCTTACGATAATGGAGATAGATAGATCATTATGGACAAAATGTGTTTGGAGTGTAAGGGAAAGCAGGCAGCTGCATAAATATGCATGGTGAGGGACAGAAAGAAACAAAAAGACAAGGGTGTAGAGTAAGGAATAGTGTAAGGAGGGGTAAGGAACCACAATGATGTTGTAGCTTCCTTTTCCTTCTCTAAAAATTAATGTATAATAACTTTCCAAACAGTCCACTGTATCACACAATGAAATATACCACATCTCACTCTGTTTTTATTGTATTCTCATTAAAGGAGACTGGGTGAACGACCAGAGACATGGCCATGGAGTGTATACATATGCAAATGGAGACACCTATACTGGAGAATGGTTTAATCACAATAGGTTTGTTTCATTCTTGCAGTGGTGTTTCAAGTCACCTAGTGGCATTAAAATGCAGAGGTTATTTTCAAAGTATGGCTGACTGTAGCAAATCAAGTGCTGCTGGGTGACCTTGGCAATGTAGGCCAACTTGAGTCATTTCAGCTGCTTAAATAATACAGTTGTAATACCTGAAGTATAACAATATTCTACATTCTTACTATTCAGTAATACAAAGCATAATTTTAATTTTCTCCTTAGGCATGGACAAGGCACATATATCTATAAAGACACAGGAGCTATATATATTGGTGGCTGGGTGAATGGAAACCAGGAAGGAGAAGCTGAACTTATCTACTTAAACCATAGATTTAGGGGCAAGTTTTTGAATGGAAATGTAAGTATGCTGGAAAGCTCTCTATTCATCTGGACAGTTAGCATGGAATTGCTTTAATATAATCTATTTCCACTGAAAATAAGAAGCTGGGCTGATTTTTTGTAGTGCTTCTGGTATCATAAGTGCAACAGAAGAAACCAAATTAATCTGCAGGACAGAACGCCAAGTTTCTCTGCAACTTTGCTTTCAAACTATATTGTTATTGACTATTGGATGAATTTTGCAGTAAAGCATACTTTACATTTATATGCTTAGAATGTTCTAACTTTATAGTTTTGCTGACTTTTTTGTATCTTTGTGCAGCCTGTAGGTCATGGGAAATATATCTTTGATATTGGATGTGAACAGCATGGTGAATACATACAAACAGAGCAGGTAAAAGAAATAGTGCAAATTATACCGAATATCAGAGAACTCAGTAAATCAAGTTTATTGTTGAGTAATCTATAAAATGCCTTATAGATACTGACATTAAAGTAGATCTAACCTGTCAAAAAAGGGTAGACACTCATTAATTCTTAAGAACTAAATGATGTTTCATTTTGCTTTTTTCTTTAGCTTCTCTACTGTGTAGGCTTTGACAAGTACAATGTCTGATTTTTGCACTCACTTGCAAACAGGAGTCCTCTCTGCTTAAAGTTTAGAAGAATCAGGACCTTCCCAAAACATTTGAAGTTTCAAACCACAGAAGAATGTAGATGTATTTATACATTTAGCCTGTATTCCACTTTGTTCTGAACACCAGAAAACAAAGAAAAGTATTTCTTCTTATATTTCTGAATTGCTTGATGCTATGTGTACAGATGGTACTTTCCAGCAGATTCGTGTTTTGGAAATACGTCTCATTGTTGTCCTGGTCCTGTTAGGAGCTTAATATCCTAATAACTGTAGGGAGCAGCTGGGATCAGAGTCTGTTTTGATCAGGGCCTGTTTTTCCTTCTCCTTCACGCATGAATGTTTTGAAATGTTTCTGATTAATATGGTGCAAAATAGCTATATAAGTAAGACATATATCTTAATACTACTGTTTTGATTTCAAGAAAATATGCCACATTTTAGCTTATACTTTGCTACTTAGGTTGTTAGTTCCCATTACACACACTTTGAAAATTCTCCAATGCAGTAATTTTTTCTTGAGGAAAAAAAAAATAATCCTATCCTTAGTGATAGAGATTTGCAAAACATGGAGAAAGTGTTGCTTTTTTGGCTACAAACAAGAGATCCTCAAGTTAAGTAGCAGATTCATATGAATATCCAAAGTGAAGTGTATCTAGTATCCTCAGTTCAGTTGAGAATTGTTGGATGTGCTGATTTTGGAATATCAGGCCATTGATGTGGGATTTTAAATATGAATTTAAGAATCCAAAGTTAAGCACTCAGCTTCTGAAAATCATTACTCAGGGATAATAATTTCTTCTCATGTGAATGCTGTAGTGATTGTGTAAAGGAAGGGACAGTGCTGTCACTAAAGTAAGATTGAATTTTGCCTCTGCTTTAGTTGAAGTAATTACAGAACAAGGCCTATTTAAAAAAAAATTAAAATAAATTAGCTTGCAATACAGATAATGATTCCATTACTAAGTCTCCCTTATATTTGGTGTCGCGGTTTTGGCCAAATTTACCCAAACCAGACTGACAGATGGCCGTTCCCCTCCCCCCCCCAGCCAGAAAGAGAGGAGAGGAAGAGATAAGGAGATTTATGAGTTTAGAATGAACTAAACTACTTTAATGAAGAATTAATATTAATATCAAAAAGAAGAAAATAATGAAATAGATACAATATATACAAAAATCATATCAAGCACCCAGGATGATGATCACATCACCAGCAGGCACTGGGGAAGTCCCAGACTGGACTCAGTGATGGATGGGAACTGGATTCCAGCTCTGGAGTCAGGAACACATGGATCGGGATCAAAGGCGGATGAACAGACAGAGTCCTCTTTGGACGTCGCCTATTGAAGGAAGAAAGTTGACCCTTTAATCCCTCAGCTTTTATACTGAGCATGATATGGATGGGATGGAATATCCTGTTGGTCATTTTTGGGTCTCCTGTCCACTCCTCCCCACATGCCCACTCCCCCCTACACTTTTCCATTTCCAACCCTTCAATGGGGCAAATAACAAAGTTAGCTGACCTTGGTTGTTATAGCAATAAGTACAAGCAAGGGCCTCTCTACATACCATTCCTTGGTGTAATCAGGTCTTACCACTCTGAGGGTGAACAATATGCTGTTAATTTCAGAGTTGAGTTAGAAGAGGCCCAGCTAAAAAAGTAAAATTACTGAACAAAAAATTAGTTCTGTTTTAGCTCAAATCAGGATATTTGGATAAAATAAAGCATGTTTTTTTTAAGTAATAATAGCAAAAAATCTTCAGATTTCAAAAGCGTAAGCTTTGTGCAGTACCTTACTGCTTCCTAGACCCATTCCAAGGTCTTCCCTAAGCAAAGGTTGAGGCAGAAAGAGCTGTTTTGCCATTTCCTTCCTCTGTGAGAGACAGTGTAGCATCTACCAGGCAGACCATTAGGGCTTATTTGCTGCTCTTATACTGTAGACAGGCATAGAAGAGGAGAGATAGTTGTCAGAACCCTCACAGCCATTCTGTTCCAGGGAGAGACAAAATTTTCCCTTTAAGAAAACGAGCTAGGAAGCACTGGTCATTAATAATAGTCAACTGACTTCATCAAGTCCAAAGTGTAGTTATCTTCCAAGATTTGTAACTGCTGAAGTTTCTCCATCTGTAAATGCTTTAAAAAGCCATGTCATTGCCATTTTGAGCCCAGATAAAGAACCATCATCTTGGTTACTTCCTTAATACCTGTAAGATGTGATGCTGGATTTCATGCATTGTCTTCTAGGATAAAAGAGAGGTAGAAGAAGAGGAGGAACTCTCATTTCTTGGGGTACCAAAATGGAAAGCATCAGAAATTACCAAATTAACACTCTGGACTCCTCACGGGGAAAAACAGCCTTCTCCCAGAGAAGCCTCCCAAGTGGGAGCAGAAGCAGAGAAAGAAGGAGAAGCAGCAGGAGTAACTGAAAATGATGAAAAAGTGCCATCGATTACAGGTTTGTTGTTCTGGACAGCTGGGAACTCCATGCTTTGACTATCCCCTGAAAATGTGTTTTTCAGGTTTAGTATTAAGTGGTGTGAGAGGTTTGGGTTTTTGTGTTGGTTTTTTTTTTGTTTGTTTGTTTTTGTTTTGGTTTTTTTTTGTTTTGTTTTCTGTTTGTTTGTGGTTTTTGGTTTTGTTCGTTGGTTTGGGTTTTTTTTCCCTATAATTACCACATATTAAAAAATGGGAGCTTCCAAGCCTGTTTGTAAACTGCTCTCTCTGTTTTATCTCACATAGCATAATGAGATATAACTGCCTTGGGAAGCCTGTGAATCATTTTAGTCTATATCATGGCCTGTTATACAAACTTGGTTGTAAACAGCTACAGAAAATTTTGTGGGATTTCTTACGTGAATAAAGACTGCAGATTTCAGTAAGAGTTATTAGCTACTGCATGAGAACAATGGCTGAGTGCGAATTTGTAAAAATTAATTTTGTTTGCTATTTTTAGTTTCTCATATTTCAGTCACTAATGAGCCTGCTGACAGTGAGGAAGATGAGCCTTCTCTTCAGGAAGTATCCACTGAAGATTTTAGCCCAGTAAAGGATGCGGGAGAGGAAGATGAGGGAAACAGAGAGGAAGAAGAAAACCAAGATCAGGAGGATCAAGGTGAGGAATGGAGCATCCATACTCATTCTTTAATTAGCAGTCAGGGTTTGGAATTATGTGTGTCAATCAGCTGAAGGTATGCTGCTGCTGAGAGGTCCATTATCAAGCTGAAGAGACCATAGGAATCTGTACCGTTCGTAAGGGGTGCAGTCCTCTATAGATGTGAACTGGTTTTGAGTAGTCAAATGCATGTCATGTAACGGTACAAATTAGAAGTGACAGTTCTGCGTAGTGTTATCTCTGGATGAACAGTTGACAGCACTTGCAAAGCTGAGTTTATCAGTGATTACATTTGCAAACTTTTTTTTTTTTTACAAAAAAAGAGAAAATTTCAGACCCTAGGTTTTGAGCACTCCACTTTTTTTCTCATGAATGGAACTGTGTACTCTTATTCTCTCAACTGAGGTTGAAGAGCAGGCAAAACAAATCTGAATAAATAAATTTTAGTTGTTATGCGTTATGGTTTGAACAGTCTCTGGCTGATTTTTTTTGTTTACAAACCAAAGAGATTTGGAATTAGGATCCTCAGGTTTTCTTCCAGGCAGTTCAGAAGCCTGTTTTAAATGCAAAATTACTAAGAAACAACAAAAGGATACACCTATGTTTATTCATATTTAGCCTATAGACCTCCACCCAATTGTGTTTGTATTCATTATGTGTTGACGTTTACAAGCTTACATATCTGATGTATGAAAACATGAGATAAATGTATCCATTTGTAATCAATCCATTTTACAATAAATCAAAGCAAAGCACTATCCACAGGGATCAGAAAGACTATTAAATCATGTGAAAATGCCTGGAGATATGCACTAAACATTTAGGTTTCATAAACATATGAAAATTTGGAATTTTCATAGTTTTATTTGTTGTCATTTTTTTACCTATCACTTCTGAAGGTGCACTCTTGCTTCAGGGCAGACTTCAGGCAGACAGCTGGCCTCTCTGGTGTGTAGGACTGACATTTTATGGGAACCCTGACCTTGGTTCAGATCCACCAGGAATCTAAGCAGGTTTCCTGCATAGCTCCGCTTTGGATTTGGCAAAAGTTCATGGAGACTGGTTTGTCTCAAAGTCGTTTGGACTCAAATAACCATTTTTGACTGAACTCGATTCTAACAAATTTTCTGACCTTCCACAATGAAGCAGTTCTGGTATTCCCACTTTTTTTGTGTGTGTTTTTTGTTTGTTTTTTTTTTTTAAAGAACAAATGGACCCAAGAATCTGTCAGAGACAGTATAGATGCAGATTCCAATGCATGAAAACACAGGAATGTGACAGATATTCTCAACGTTCCTTCCAGCTCTTTATTGCTAGAATCAAAGAGTTGGATTTTATACATTTTTTCAGTGTAGCTCTACATCCATAATTAATTAGGCAACACATTGTTCCCCTTGTCTTTATGTTTAGCAAGATTAAGTTATAGTAAGAGGAAATGATTTGAAGAAAATATGCATACTGTGAAGAGCAGATGTAACAAAATCTGGTTTCTTGCAGCCTTATATTCTCTGTCCCATTACCATCATTTTTTTCCACACGGGAATTCCATCCATTTTTTTTGCTCCATGTTTCTTATTATACTTGTCTAGATGGAAGACATTCTTTGGCTATTCCAGAGTTACATATGGGCTGGCTGGCAGTCAATATGTGTGTACTGAGCCTGTCTGGCAGCTGACAAACAACGTATAACAGTTAAATTCAAGTATTGGCAGTGAAAGGCAATGGGAAAGATGACTGAAATAGACAGCATAGTCCTAGAATTATGTTTTAGTTTCAAGTATTACTTTCCCATATCTTATAATAAAATGCATCTCTCTGTCCTCTTTCCTTCACCTCCACAGAAACTACTGGTTTAGATAAGGAAGATTAATCAAAGGAAGCAGAGTAATTGGATACAACTAAAGACAAAGAGCCCAAAAAACCCATTATTTCGGAGTGAATCATTTATTATGGTAACGCTGCGATATTTTTATTCAGTTAAGATGCTTTGAATAAACATTTCTGTCACTGATTCGTCTGGAATATGTATCTCTGAAACTTTTATGATCTCAGAGTACACAGACTCATGACAACTTTATTCCATGCAGCAGGTAGTAAATTCTTGAAACCAGTACAGGATTATTCTGGATTGTTGTGTCCTCACAAGTTTGCAGAAGCAAACTCAGTCTTCTCCCACTACTGGTAGTTCTTCTCTTCCTTGAACCCTGCCTCTGGGCACATAGGCCTGGGGTTCTTGCTTGTGAAGACAAAGACAAAGGCAACATTAGTCTTCCCAGCTCTATCTGTATCCTCTGTCACTAGACTGCTGATTACAGGCCTACCTTTTCTTTGGTTATTTTTTGATTGTTCATGTAGCTGTAGAAGCTCTTCTTGTTGCCCTAAATCGCCCCTTGCCATTTTGAACTCAAACTAAATTTTGCTTTCCTAACACACCACTGCAGTGTATTTAAATTCTTGTAGTCTGTTTTTTTTTTCCCATTTTCATAGAATCATCTAGGTTGGAAGGGAACTTTAAGATCATTGAGTCCAACCATTAACCTAACACTGCCAAATCCACCAGTAAACCATGTCCCTAAATGCCCCATCTACATGTCTTTTAAATACTTCCAGGGATGGTGACTCAACCACTTCCCTGGGCAGCCTGTTCCAGTATTTGATAACCCTTTCAGTGAAGAAATTTTCCCCAATAACCAATCTAAACCTTCCCTGGTGCAACTTGAGGCCATTTCCTCTTGTCATATCACCTGTGACTTGGGAGAAGAGACTGACCCCCACCTCTCTACAAAGTCCTTTCAGGTAGTTGGAGAGAGCGATAAGGTCTCCCCTGAGACTTCTTTTCTCCAGGCTAAACAACCCTAGTTCAGCTCAATCCCAAACTTCTCGTTTGCCTTGTGACCTTCCTTAAGCTGTTTAAAGGAGGCTGTCAACCATCAGAGTGAGGAAGCTGATCTGTAATAAATTCCCAACACCTATGTCCTGGTTAATACACTTGCTGATCCACAGACTCTCCAACAGCAAGTTGTCCATAGCATAGAAGAGCTCCATGCATTCAAGCTACTCCTTCACATAGAAGAAAACTCTGCCTCTCATTTTCCCTTTCTGGCTTTACTAATGAGCCATTCATTCACTGGAGAGCTCCAGTTGTGGTGTGAGCTGTCCCACCATTTTTCATTTTTTCCAAGAATGTGACAGTTTGCATCTGCACACAGAGCAGTTTCTAGTTCCTCGTTTTTGTTTCCCAGACTGGATCCACTTGTATACATACACTTAAAGTAGGCTCCCTTTTGGCTTGTTTTACCTTGCCTGAGGGGTGCTCCCACCACCCTGTCCCATTTACTTACTACTCCTGAACTCCATTCTTTCACTTAGTGTAAGCGTTTATCACCATCCTCCAAGGTATTGAATTTGCGTCTCTCCTCACCAGATTTACAAGCCTGTTGTCAAAGATAGTCTTACCCCACTTTGTTAGATCTCCTTGTCCTCCAAGATGGATCCATGGTAACGAAAGGCAAAGCACCATCTATGGCAACAGCCCCGTGACCAGTTGCTGCCTCTCACTGTTATGTCCCCTATTACTTGACCTCTTCCCATGGAAGATCAAGGGGACATCCTGTGGGTTTCCATGCCCTTTGCCACCCAGAATCCTACAGTTACTCTTGTTTTGCTCCAGGTGTCCCCCAGCAGTATCACTAATGGTGATGGTCACACTAATGAGCAATGAAGGGTAACAATCAGGGGACTGGACGAGCCTTGGCCATCTTTCTACAACACCCACTATCTGGTTGTCTACCAAACAGCAAACCCCCCATGACAGCATGTCTGGTCAGCAGACAGGTTTCTTTATTCCCTGCAGAAGGGGATCTCCAACTGCTACAACTTGCTGCTGATGCTCAGCTGGGCACAGCTGGCTCTGAAGCCTCCCTTGGCATCATCTGTTCCCCTCCCATGGCTATTAGGGCCCAATAGCAACTCTCTGCATTCAGGTCTGAGCAGTGAGGAGGAACATCTCTCATGCTGCCAGCAGTCAAGAACTTTAGCAGCATCCCTCAGGGGACTCCCTATCCACCACTCCATTCAGCACAGCCCCTAGATGTCCTTCCACCTCAGGCTTAGGCTCTCACCTCTGTGGACACCCTGCTGATATCCCATTTACTCTCCTTAATAGTGAACAATCTGCACTCCTCCTTCTGCAGGTCCTTGAACAGACAGCACCTGGACCATTACACACCTCCCACAGGACCCCATCACCCACAGCCCCAGTGAGACATCTGGACACAACATCCCCCTGCCCAAGCCCTGTCTAGGCTGACACCAGTGACATGCTGAGGGCACTTTCTTCACTGGTGCTGGAGATCAGACCTACTAGCTCATCAACACTGGTGTCACACAGTCCCACATGGTTTGCAGGAGAGCTTCTGCCTTTCCCTACCACCCACAAAAACCACCAAAAGCTCTGCTTGCTGTATTCCCATCTCCCAGCTGAATAGGCACCCCTACACAACAGCCAAAAAACAGCACAGCACCCCCTCATCAGCAGGCAACTAACTCCTGAACATGCAGCTCCTTTTAAATCAAGAACCTGTCAATCAGGAGGCAGCCAGCAGGAGACAGCAGCTGCAGAAGGCCCCTAGATGCCACCAGAATCAAATGACATTATATAAATAGTAAATTACAAGCACAGAGGAAGGCAGAACTGCACAAAGTGTTGTACAAGCACTAAATGCCACGGACAGATCTTTTCTGCAGGTGAATAAAGCTGCTCTGGAACATTTTTTTTCCTGATAATATGTAAGGAATACCTTAATTATTAACATGTGTATCTGCCTGACTTTAATTGACTCTCTCAGTCTGTGAGAACATTGGTATGAATGTTGATGGGCCTGGAGCCTGAGGAAGAGAGTTGCCAGCCAGTAACAGTTTGATCTTGAAATAAAATAACTGGTTTTGGCCCAGCTGGAATAAGAGATGTTGTACTGATATTGATGAAACAAGACCTGCATTTTTTTTATTCTTCACCTCAGAGCAGGAAATCTATACTGAAATTTTAGTGTAGGGCAAAAATGGGAAAACATTTTAACAAGTTCCTTTTCTTGACAACTCACAATTTCAGCAGAGGTATGCTCAGAAGTTTGAAAGGTAGCGATAAAAAGGGATTAACAGAAAGCAGAGATAAAAAAAAATGAGTCATATAAGTAGAGTTTATTGCTTCTTCCTGCAATTTTTCTCCTATCAGAAATGTCATATTGAGAAAATTCCCATGCAATCTTTCCCTTCCTATCTTACATGTCATTTTGTTTGCAATTTCTTGTCACACCGATTGTGACTTCAGTGAGCACTTTCAGAGGTGGTTATCTTTTCCTCTTTCTCCTTTCTTTGGCAAAGAGAAGTGCTGTATTTCCATTATTACTGTAGCTAGATCAAAGCAAACTTGCCTTGCTAACAATGGGATTTTTTTGTCTTTTTATGAAAAACTAACAATCCTTAGTCATTTCCATTATTACTGTAGCTAGAGCAAAGCAAACTTGCCTTGCGAATAATGGGATTTTTTTTGGTCTTTTTATGAAAAACTAACAATCCTTAGTTTACTTGCTAGTTTTAATATATTCTACCGTAAATTTGAGAAATAGCAGCGCAACATATTTCCCAAGTCATTTAGATTTTAAGGTAATCTTCAGGTCAAGCTGAGTTCATTCTTGGGTGATATATGAAATTACTTTCTCCCCTGCAGCAGCTAGTACTGTACTGTACGTTAGATTAGTACATGAGTGACCTCCAGTGGTATACCTGCAAATAGTGCATCCTGCCTGGAATACAATCAAGAACAGCCAAGAACATTTGGAAATCTCTACTGTGCTAAAAAGTGCTCCCAAGAAGATGGCTTGCTCCTTTTGGAAACCACCAGTGCTTTTGTCAGAGGAGACATTTCATTTTACTGTATTTTCCAGAAATACCTTAAGGATAATTTGGAAACTAGTTAGTAGTAGTTTGTTCATCCCTCTCTCCAAGAGAGGGAGGAACCCCTGCCAAAACTTGTTGCATGAAGGTATGCTAAATCTCTCTTGTCCTTCTGCCTCTTCACTTTTCAGTCATGAGGAAAGACCATTTTAGAGAGCATTAGAGCTCAATCTGCCAAAATGGGATGGGTGAGAAAACTGGAAGGTATAAAAGTGAGAAAACTCATGGGTTGAGATAAAGCCAGTTTAATAAATAAAGAAAACGCTGTGGGAGTAAGCAAAGCAAAGCAAGGAATTAATTCACTGCATCCCATCTGCGGGTAAGTGTTCAGCCATCTTCAAGAAAGCAGGGCTCCATCATATGTAGTGGTTACTTGGAAGGAGAAATGTCATCACTCCAAATGCCCACCCCCCACCCTCCCTTCCTCCTTCTTCGTCCAGCTTTTTTTTACTGAGGACAACATCATATGGTAATAAAGAAAACGCTGTGGGAGTAAGCAAAGCAAAGCAAGGAATTAATTCACTGCATCCCATCTGCGGGTAAGTGTTCAGCCATCTTCAAGAAAGCAGGGCTCCATCATATGTAGTGGTTACTTGGAAGGAGAAATGTCATCACTCCAAATGCCCACCCCCCACCCTCCCTTCCTCCTTCTTCGTCCAGCTTTTTTTTACTGAGGACAACATCATATGGCCTGGGATATCCCTTTGGTCGGTTGAGGTCAGCTGTCCCAGCTGTGTCCCCCTCAACTTCTCATGCATCTCCAGCCTACTCACTGGTGGGGTGGTGTGAGAAGCAGGAAAGATCAAGATGCTGTTTAATCACTGTGCAGCAATAACTAAAACATCCCTGTGTTATCCAAACAGTTCTGGTCACAAATCCAAAACACAGCACCATACTATGAAAAAAATTAACTCCATCCCAGCCAAAACCAGTAGAGTAACCCAAAAGATGACATCCCTTGATCAAGTCTTTGGTGACCCGCCTTGTTCAGCCTGTATCCAAAAGATGACATCCCTTGAATAGGTCTTTGGTGACCCGCCTTGTTCAGCCTGTAGG